AATATATATAATTTATAATAGATATAAAGACAAGTAATTGCAGACAAAACCAAAGAAAAACTCCTCTGTCTGCATATTTAGATAAGTATATATATATATATATAAATATATATAAATATATATATATATATTTATATTTATATCTATAATGACTATGCAGATGGTGGAGGAGGCAAGAAAGAAAAATAAAAGAAGAAAGAAAATACGCAAAAGGTAAACAGCGACAAACTAAAAACAAACATCAAAAAATGCATGCAAAACCCGCACAGAGAGACGCATGCAAAGCAAACAAAAACAAAAAATTCAACGAAAAACCTAAACAAAAACCGCAAAAGGCTGCAGCACGTGCTGCTGCAGCAAGTGCAGCACGTGTTGCTGCAGCAAGTGCAGCACGTGCTGCTGCAGCAATTGCAGCACGTGCTGCTGCAGCAAGTGCAGCACGTGCTGCAGTACAGCGTCCTCCACTTGCTGCAGCAGCAGCAGCAGCAGCAGCTGTGTGTGTTTCTTGAGTATTGTATAGTGTTTATGCAGCAGCTTGTGTCTCTTCACAGAGAAAGGCATCAAGAACTGCGAACAAAAAGAATAAAAAGCAAAAAGAAATTAGTAAATTAAATGCATATATAATTTCTTATACAAATACATCATACGCACACCAACTACAAACAAAATATAAAAACACTATAGATTGCATGCATGCATGCATGCGTGCATAGATGTAATCTATACTCTGCATGCATGCATGCATGCATGCATGCATGCATTGGGGCTTTATATCTCACTCTTGTCTTTGTCTTTGAGGGTCTTTTCTGCTGTTGGGTTTTTCGGGTGTATAATCACCGCCCCAAAGACAGCTGGAATTTCTTCTAAAGGAATTATCAACAGAGGTAAGACTTCAAACACCTGCATGCAAACATTATTATATATATATATATATATAAACATCTGCATGCAAATATTATTAAATTTATATATATATATATATATATATATATAAACACCTGCATGCAAACATTATTAAATATATATATATACATATGTATATATATATATATATATATATATATATAGGCATGCATATATGGATATAGTAAATCATTTGAAAGAGTAATAATATATAAAACGAGTGTATATGCATCAATATATACATATATATACATCCTGAAGCAGCATCAGCCCCCACACAGTAGACGAGGTGTACGTACACCCGAAACTAGACAGAGAGATGCGCATACACCGCAACAAATATACAAAAGGTGCCTATACAGCCCAACACAGATAAAAGAACAGCAGATCTTCACCTGAATTGCTAATGTCTCTTCAGGCTGATTCTCTGTTGGAGGCCAAACGAAAGTTGCCTGCAGAAATTCAATTAAAAAATATCCTTTTGAGGTGTACATACACCCCAATTAAACATGCATACGCATGCATACTGTCTCTGCAGACAAAACCTCTTTAGCTACGCTCTCCCCCGTCTAAATAATGCATGCATGCATGCATGCATGCATGCAAATAACACACGAATGCATGCATACATGCATGCATTAAATAACATGCATGCATTACAATAGCGCATGCATGCATGCATGCGTGCATGCATGCATTTGGTAATACGTACCTGTCTCTGGCTGTCTTGTTGTCCTTGGGGCTGAACTAAATCTTTCTGTTAAAAAAACGAAACGGAGATTAAAAAACAAGCAAACAAACAAACAAACAAACAAACAGACAAATGCGTGAAGTAAAATAATAAATAAACAAATAAATAAATAAATAAAGCAAACAAACAAAGGATTTAAAAAATACAAGAAAATATATACAAAGATAGACGCCTCTAAATCAACGCATGCAAACCAAAGAGTATCGTTAAGGTGTACAGCCAGCAGCAAATATAAAATAAAATGCATATAAAATAAAAAGAGTTAAAAAATAATAAACTAAAATAAAAATAAAAATAGAAAACAAACCCGAAGATGAGAAGGAATCCGCGATGGTGTTATGCCTCTGTAGTAAATCTTCTGTACACAAAATATCATAAACCCTAAACCCTAAACCCTAAACCCTAAACCCTAACATAGCAACAACAATAAACCCTAAACCCTAGCGAACCTTTTAGATACATAACAGACAAAAGTCTAAATAAATTCTCAACTCCAAACTCAAACAAATAGCAAAACGTAAAAATAACAGTAAACCTAAACCCTAAACCCTAAACCCTAAACCCTAGAAAATCTCTTGCAAACAAAGAAGGCAAACGTTCTAATTAACAGCAACGCAGCATCAACACACAGTACCACAACACGTTATCAGCAACACTAACCAACCCTAAACCCTAAACCCTAAACCCTAAACCCTAAACCCTAAACCCTAAACCCTAGGGAGACGAACAACATCTGAGTCGAGTTCAGGGAGGAAAACCGCTAGCGTTGTTTTTTCAACTTTAAGCACAACCCCTAAAACCACAAACACGAAGATCAACAACCTCAGGTGTACATACACCGCAATAACCAGCCCCAAGTGCATGCATGCATGCATGCATGCATGCATGCATGCAAATGATTTTGCTTGAGATTGTTGAACTGTGCACATGGGTTGCTTTTGCTTCTGCATGCAATTGGTTTAGGGTTTGTCTTCCTTCTGCATGTGAGGGTTTAGGGTTTAGGGTTTAGGGTTTACCGATGGTCCGCAGAATCTCCCGGCTTCGCCTCAAGTAAAGATTCAAGACAGCCTGGCACAACCCAAAGACACCGTAAACCCTAAACCCTAAACCCTAAACCCTAAACGCTAGTATCTCACCCTGAACAACTGAACCCCTAAATCGTAGACCTAGAGGCATACACCCGAGTACTCTGGTTTAGGGTTTAGAGCTTAGAGTGTCTAGGGTGTAGACACTCTAAACTCTAAACCCTAAACCCTAAACCCTAAACCCTAAACCCTCACCAAACTGCATGCCCTGTCTGCCTCCCTCATGTTTTTATTGACATCATTGCATGCAACGCAGATTGCCTCGGTTTCCTCCTGCAAAATAAAACAAACTCTCAAATCTAAACCCTAAACCCTAAACCCTAAACCCTGCCGAGTATATATCCTTAGATGTACATATATATATATATATATATATATATTTATTTATTTATTTATTTATCTACGCACGCATGTAAACAATATAAATTATCTGCATGCATCTGCACACTTTATGTAGATATCTAGATATATACATTCATACATATATATATATATAAAGCTATATAAATATAAATATATATATATTATATATATATATAGCTGACTGGGCTGAGCGGAGGATGTTTGGCGTCATCAATGAGTGCAGACAGCGTGCGGTGTACGAGCAGGTCGGGGTATCTCCTGCAAATAAAGAGACAGTTAATTATTTAATTATTTTATTTTATTTTATTTTATTTTATTTTATTTTATATAAAGACAGATTGGTGTCTTTACGAGAAAAGAAATGCAAAATATAATTTTAGATAAAGATATATTAAAGCATTCAATCAGTATATTAATATATATTATATATATTATATAATATATATATAATATATAATATATATATATTATATAATGTATATATAAGTGTATGTTTATATATACATAAAGATGCACAAGTGCGTACATTTAAATATATTAACTAAAAAAGCAGATATTTTATTACCTTTGATATGAAGACAGACAAATGCATTTGTTATTATATATAAAAGAAACAAACATGTATTAATATAAAAGATAATATATATAAATATAAATATATATATAGACATAGATATATATTTACATTTTTAGGTACAGGCTTATACATAGATATACACCTAAGCAGATATACAGACCTACACATAAATAGCTACACACTTCAATATATATATATATATGTATATATATATATATATGTATATATATATATAATTTTTTGAGGTATTACCTGATAGGGGATGTGAAGTGTGTGTAATGTACGAAGTTGAGAGCAAAGTGCGTTTTATATATTTGCATGTCTTTAAGCTTCGCAGCAGTTTTATACACACCCAAATGCCTTCATACACACAAAAATATTATATATATTATATATTATATATATTATATTATATGTTATATTATATATATATTATATATATATAAATTCAAAGGCACATCCAAATGCCTTCATACACACAAAAATATATGTATATTATATATTATATATATTATATTATATGTTATATTATATATATATTAGCATAAATATATATACATAAATATACATATAAACATTATATATATATGCACACCCAAATGCCTTCATACACACAGAAATACATTTAAATAAAAATGTAAATATAAAAATAACTAAAAAAATATATATATTTTTATATAGCCAACCTCCAGCACAGACGCAGCGACAATTCTAGGGTTTAGGGTTTAGGGTTTGAGGTGTATAGGCAGCTGTGCGTCTAGGGCTTACTGAAGACTGTTTAAAAATAAAGTAAAACGCGGCTCCTTCTTAAATGCAGGGTGGTACCGCATCACCGCGGAATCTGCACAAACTCTGAACCCTAAACCCTAAACCCTAAACCCTAAACCCTAAACCCTAAACCCTAAACCCTCGCCGCTCGGTGCTGCCGGTGCGAATATCGTTTTTCCATATTTCCCTCCTCAGCCCATCCTCTAAATACTGCTGCAGCAACTGCTACCTTCTCTCTTGCTGCTGCTGCTGCACGTGCTGCTGCTGCTGCACGTGCTGCTGCTGCTGCACGTGCTGCTGCTGCTGCACCTGCTGCTGCTGCTGCTCACCCTGGAATCTGCTTTTGCTGATATATGCAGCGACAAGTCTGTTTGCAAGAAGCATCAGCTCTTCTATCAGCTCGTGGGATCGCGTGTGCTGCATGCAAACCCTAAACCCTAAACCCTTAACCCTAAACCCTAAACCCCACCAGTATCTCTACCAACCTCAACGTAATGCTGTATCTTCAAACTGTTAGAGAGACAGCAGCACCAACGGCAGCAGCAGCAGCACGAACAGGAGCAGAAGGCGCAGCAGCACACACCTTAGCAGCAGCAGCAGCAGCAACAACAGCCGCAGCAACAGCACCGGCACCA